AAGGACGACATGGTAACAATGGAACACATTCCTTTCTCTTGTACACTATTGCGACATAAAACAGGTATTCCCATCAACTGGAGATGATTCATCCTTTCTAAACTGTTGTCATCGGAAATATACTACACATACTGATGGCAAGAAATGGCTTCCAATGTGAGGCATATATGGGCCGAATTTAGGACTTTTTCATAAATAGGCTCAGATCAGCTTTTCAAGATTCATAATTAATAAATGATCATGTTGATCTCATATTTCTTTTCATTTAACCTACTTCAAGTGAGCTACCAGCTTTACCAAAGTGAGCTACTGGCCCTATCAAGGTGAGCTACTGGCTTTGTCACGGTAAGCTAGCTACTGGACCTATCAAGGTGAGCTACTGGCACTATCAAGGTGAGCTACTGGCACTATCAAGGTGAGCTACTGGCCTTGTCAAGGTGAGCTACTGGCCTTGTCAAGGTGAGCTACTGGCCTTGTCAAGGTGAGCTACCTGCCTTATCAATGAAAACAAACATGTAATTCAATTATTTCAGGTGATTGTGAACATCAATAACTCCCACACTGACAGGGACCTAGTTGTGTCAAAGGCTCCACCCCAACACCCTTGCAGTTAAGTGCCTGTAATCCCAAAGACTGGTTAAACAAACATATTTACTGTAATCCACAACATGATTCAATTCCACATGGTAATCTCCACATTCCAGCCTTGCCTACTGGTAAGTTGTGTATCCGCAATATATAATTTGAGATCAGGGAGTACATATATAAATTATCTAACAGTGTTAAACAGCCCTGTTCAGAATAATGACACAAAGTAGCAAAAGACACACACAAAACCCAGAGGCTCAATACATACAAACAATACTTTACTGTCTATATGCAACACATATAGTGACATACATGTCATTCAACTCACACTGAACCTCATTCAACACAAGTCTCACATTCATCATGCACAACCCCCATTCAACATGCATACAACAAACACATACATCCCCAGGGGTGGAAATAACTTTAAAATTGATAGTGTACGCCGGTACAGTGGCACATGTAAAGTCACTTGCCCTGATAATCATACCGACCATTTTCTTGCTGATTTTTTAAATAAACAACATAATTAACATTGGAAAGTCAACTGGACACCAGTACAGTGTGATATACAAATTTGCTTGCCCGACAGTAAAAAACACTGGACTCGGACGTCGGGCAATGGGTTATTTCCACCCCTGATCCCATTAAACTCACACAACTCCAATTCAACACATCCACAATCCCCATTCAACACATGAACAACACATAAACAACAAACAATATGCCCATACGATACACATACATTCCATTCAACACCTGACACATTCAACACCCATACATTCCATAAATCACAATCATCCCATTCAAGACACACAATACATATTCAACACACACATACTCCATGTACAACACACTTCACGCCATTCAACACACATACATCCCAAAAAAAACACAATCCACATTCAAAACACATACACCCCAAAAAACACAATCCACATTCAAAACACATACACCCCAAAAAACACAATCCACATTCAACACACATATATCAAACAAACAAAAAATCCACATTCAACACACATACATCCAAAAAAACACAATCACACACACCCCAACAAAACACAATCCACATTCAACACACATACACCCAAAAACACAATCCACATTCAACACACATACATCCCAAAAACACAATCCACATTCAACACACATACATCCCAAAAACACAATCCACATTCAACACACATACATCCCCATAAAACACAATCCACATTCAACACACATACATCCCAAAAAACACAATCCACATTCAAAACACATACACCCCCAAAAAACACAATCCACATTCAACACACATATATCAAACAAACAAAAAATCCACATTCAACACACATACATCCAAAAAAACACAATCCACACACCCCAACAAAACACAATCCACATTCAACACACATACACCCCCATAAAACACAATCCACATTCAACACACATACATCCAAAAAAACACAATCCACATTCAACACACATACATCCCAAAAAACACAATCCACATTCAACACACATACATCCCAAAAAACACAATCCACATTCAACACACATACACCCCATAAAACACAATCCACATTCAACACACATACATCCCAAAAAACACAATCCACATCCAACACACATACACCCCAAAAACACAATCCACATTCAACACACATACATAAAAAAAAACACAATCCACATTCAACACACATTCACCCCAAAAACACAATCCACATTCAACACACATACACCCCACTCACAAAACACACGTTACACCCATTCAACTCACAATGACACCACCATCGCCCCCCAATGACCCTGCCGTCCCTCCCTGACAAATAAGAGACCTGATACTAGTTGAGTTATCTCCCTTGTCCCTGGGGGTAGGGCAGGCTGGACAGCATATCGTTATCTGTCCCTTGGGGTCCAGTCACAAGCAGATTACCACCACATTGCCGCGACAATGAGAGCGCATACCAATAAATACATCCATTGCAGCACTGATGGTGTGGTGTGCTGTTACTGACGACTGATATAATGCAGAGCATGTGAGGACACATTAGTCACTGACCGATGCTTTAAGTGACCCACTGTAGCAATCAGCAGTAGGGATACAGCTCGGAAGTCTCGCAGAATATGAACCGATATTCTGGAGCCAAGGCGAAAATTCAAACTTCATTACACTGGCGCCATTTGTAGCAGGTTGTGTTCATTGGATGTTAACTCAAAATTTGATAAACATATTCATCATAAGGACAATTATTCAAATCATAATGAATAGTGATCCTTGTAAGACATACTTGTGTTTATTTATATCATATATCTATTTTATTATCTAATCATTATGATACTTTTTCACAGTTTATTAATTAATGGATATCTTTTTTTCATACTGGTCAAGGAAACTTGCATGTGATGATAAATAAAATATTCATGTTCATGATTTTACCATAAAAAAATAACATAAATTTTAAACTGTATTTACAGAGCAAACATTCAGTTTACTGTTACAAGAATAGCCAAGTTTTGGTATTTCCCAATCTCAGAATCACCCATATCTAAATGGCACAAGAACTTTCTACAAAGGAATTTGAAAATTACATTTTAAGTACAGATGGAAACATTACCAGCTAATCATTTCCAATATCATTCATCTTTAATACTAGCAATTCTCTTCACATCCACACTGTACTGGTACTATGTGCCAAATTGCTTTGTAAATTGAGCCACAATGTAATTATGTTAATTATTATATGAATAATTATTTACACATCATTAAATTTCACCATGACAACCTTTCATGGTGCTGAGAGGTCAGTAAATCAATGGTAAAGGTCATTTTCTCCAATAAGCCAATCTCTTGCAGATCAGCATGTACTTTTCTTAGATATAAATCAGATAAGTTTGACTGAATAAAGTAATACCTTCATTAGTATATGAAAATCAAAGCGCCTTTGAGAAGCCGAGCTGGATATTGGCGTTATACAAATGTTAGTATAATAATATGAATTATATTTATGTCTTCTCAAATATGAACATCAGGAAACAATTTTAATAATTCTTTTTTTATTTTCCTAGAGTAGAATGGCAACACTGTAAAGAATTATCAATTTTGCATCATTCTTAATTTTTTTGTTTTTACTGAATACAAATTTTTCCTGAAACAGCGAAAGAGTCGAAATTATAACATATAGAATGTTTTACTGTTAAAATTTAAAATATAATAAAATACTAGTAGTCTATAGCTTTGGTGATAAATGTTTCCTATGGTTGAAATCAAAATAGCCCTTGCAGCACATATCAGTGTGGGAGATAGAGTTTTGACAGAATAAGGTTGTGTTATTGAGGAAGAATTGTTATCCTAACAATCTCTTACTGCAGCCAATCATTCTAATGTCAGGTGCTACACTGTCTCACTGTTCATGTTTCAGTCTGCTTCTGAAATACCACTAGTTCAGTATAAATACAACCAGGCAGGTCTGTTTACAGTCCAGGTGCAAACATTCATAAACAACACACTACAGAAACATAATTTTGAAAAATAAAATAAAAGCTTGACTGAGAAAATTAAATTGAACTATGAAAACATTCTCTTATTATTTTATTTACTTTTAGGTTTTTATTTTAGACGAATGCGTTTGTGTTTTAAGTAGATTTATAATATACATTATTGCAGTTTAGTCGTTTTTTATTGATAATTGGGAATTGCGAAGGTCAAAAGATCTAAACGTATGAAATCCGTTGCTATCATTGCTATTGTTACATTCACATTGTAAACTGAGGCATAGAAGGCTGTTCGCATACAATCCCACACGTCTTGGCAATTCCACAACGTCTAGGTGATATCTGTCTCCAGCTCGCCGCTACACGACCCGTTCCCGACTTCCAGGAACCGCCTCGCAGAGGCACATCTACAGTACCAAACTGACGCTTGGAAAATGGGAAAATGAAATGATAGGTGCCTGGGAAGCACATGTACACCCAACCCCACCATAATGGAACAGTTAACTACCGCTGACCACCGGTCAGATAAAAGGGAAAGACCGACAGCCGTTGCATAACCAATATAGCTCCCGTAAATCCCTGGTCGCGAGCTTGGCACGTGGGCTCCCTTCTACAGCCTGTGAAAGCGTTCCGTTAGCCAAGCTCTCGGTAAATACCGCTGTCAGAGGCATGCTAAAATAACAGAATATCTCTCGCGGCTGTGTTTGATTAAATATGGACAAGCATGCCTTTCTAAATCTTTCCTTAGTGCTATATCCCAACCTTGCGATAAAGGTGGAGTGTTTTGTTGAGACATCGAAGGCTAAAAGCTTCGCACCGCACTGTCTGACGGGTAAATCCTTTCATAAACATAGAGTCAGGAGGCGATGGAATGATAAAACATGGTCAAATTTAACCCGTGGCTAGCTGCTATGATAAGAAACACGTTGACTTACCTTCTTCGGAAAGGTTTCACAAGATACTCCGTTAACGATACACGTAATTCCTCACACTGTGAGATCTTGTCAATGTTATTCAGTCGCCTTCCGAGTTGAGCGATTCATCACTCGAGGACCAGAGGTAATTTAAAATCCGTTTGCAATATCGCAAGCCTTTGTGATGCACTGAATCTTCTTGTCTTGCAAGAATCCAGGAATTGTTTGGGATCACATTTTCTGAAATGAGCAAAATATATCCGGATAAAAATCCGTGGTGACTACACGAACATCGCGGTGAATTCAGTGTTAAATCCCTGCTTCTCCAACCACCATTCACAAACACCACAAATCCGTGTATATAATCAGTGTTGAACGCTGGTCGTACAAATTCCCATACATACACAACACTTTTGCGTAAATAACCTGTGCCAATACGCATAAAATGGAAAGAACGATACACTCTTGCCGTATGACAACAGAACTCTTCCTCGTGGAGAGAAACAGTCTAAGCAAGATTGACAGTCGCTCCGCCCCCTTTCAGAAGCGCAACGGATGAGTGAGCAATGATATCCAATAGACAGTGTCTCTGCTCGTTGCTATGGGTGACAAGCATTCGCTGCACGCGCAGCCAAGTCTTTGAAGTCAGCCGATTCATCATCCTGTACGCTGCGGATTTGAGCAGATACTCCCGAATACCTAACAGAGAATTAATGAAAAACCCAGTTTGCAGATAAAAGCGGTGCACACTAAATCCACCGCTCGGTGAGGTTTGGTACAATGCCGATAGGACTGTGTAACATAGACTGGATATGCTTCCCAGATTGTGTTTATGTGAAGAGATGCTGTTCGACAGTACAGATAACTTTGGACTTAATGCCTTACCTTTGTGTATATGATATGAATTTAGCGCGTCCGTTGTACTGAAATGGTATGAGTCATTGTATATAAATATTAGTATTGATCGGGGGTATTTTATCAATCCTGGATTCATCTGGAGACAGTTATTAGAGGCAGGTGTTGTGCCAGTCGATCTGGTTCCATTGTTTTGTTTTCCATAGTGTATGAGTACGTTTGAAGTTGTTGTTTTTACAGCAAGGCTTATAATGGTTAATATACGGAAATTACTTCGCTTCGTATTCGTATTCCGTTTTAGTTAACATTGTATTTTGTGGCATCCTTGAACAAGAGAATTGTTTGCTACCATTTTGTGTTATTGTGTCATATATATTTATATATAACATTTATTTTTAATCAACTGTAATCATATATATGCAATAACTTTTCACTGACTAAATACGACTATATTGTTTTGGTTGCTTGTATTATAAGTGTTGTTAAATTAATATTCGCACGGATTACGCTTAGTCGGAGCTTTCACCGACACTTTCGAAAGCATTAAAAGGAAACTGTGCAAAATTAGTTCAGATATTTGTGTTTTTTGGTTTTGTTTACTGTAAAACCAAATAATATCGAAAAGCTTCAATCCAGACGAGCTCACGTGGGAAAAGACCAGTTTATGACGACCAATGCATGCAGTTCGTTATTCTACAACCTCTTTGACCTGGACATCAACTTTCAGAAAACAAAAGGTTTTGCTGACCTCCTCTGTCGGATTATTTTCATTATTTTTTGTTTATTCTCTTTTTTTGTCAGTCCGAAGACACCATGAACTCGACAATTAATGTATCTATTCAACATAAACATCGGTGTGATCAAGGGAATTGTCGGTCTCGTTTTCTTGTAACGCAGCTATTAGTGACGTCACAGTTTAAGTTACGGTTTTCTTTTTTGTAAAAGGACGCGGAAATCAGTGACGTCACAGTAAACAAAAAAAATACTGTTCCTTTAAAGCCAGACCGGAAATCAATGACGTCATGGATACTATAAAAGATGCTGTGTGCCTTTTGATCAGCTACAGATATGAAACATGAAAGATGCGAGACGGATCTCCACGAGCATGAGGGTTCAACTACCGGACCTGTTCATGTGCTACCTGTAATTCCGATCAAAAGAAATTCACCACACCACGGAGAATTGTGATTTAAGGGACCCGAAGAGGAGTTGTTTTTCAACAGGGAGTGGTTGATGGGGATTCTATGGACGCTGCCGATTCCAGTACAACATCTTCGTTGGTATTTGCCTGGAATGGTCCTGGTTCCTTCGCGCGATAACAAGTCTTGTAAAAGACTCCATTTCTGTATGTACTGTACCCCTGCAGATGGAGAAGATGATGTACCTTCAGGTTTGAGCTGCCGTTTAACATTAACCATTAATGGCACCAGTTTCGTTTCCTTACAATTTGGAAAATGCCACCCTGTCAATAACAGCCTGTATTCCACTACTCCGGCCAATCCTGATGAACCGTCTGTCCGGATTGCGGAGATTCAACTTTATGTTGTCTTTTGTTAGGTGAGCGAGGTTTAACGTGACCTTCAAGATTACGTTGTACTACACCGACACGCATGCACTTTGTGTGCGTAGTTTTCTCTGAGGACTGATGGCAGTTCAGACTGCTTGACCACTATGCTACCATGGGTATCCCCTTCCCTTTATACTGACTCCAAGCTGGCCAGTCATTATTATCAACCGTTTTATACCTAACACCACGTTGAGTTCCCAGAAGCACTTTTAACGTCTTTCAGAATACCGCGGGTACTGAATCACTGTCGTTACGTGGAGGCGTTACGTTCAAACAGCACGGAAATGACCGTAGTCTTCTGGACATCACCTTGAATCAAAACTTCGAGTCTCGCAAATAAATTGGTTAATGCTGTTTTACGTTACAGCCGCGGAGTAGTAAGGGATTGGGCAAATACTTCACACATTCTGAAATGTGGAATAGAATTTGATTTTCAGCGTTACCAGCAAACGTCGTTCCGCTAGACTATCTGTCCCTGCTCATATACTGAGGGAAACAAATAAGGGAACACCTAGCAATGTCACAACGGTCTGTAAATAATCGAGTCTAGAGTTATGATTGACATTGTGAGCACCAAGTCAGCGAGCCTGACCAACCGATCCCGTCGCCTGTAATGACAAGCGGGGCGGTGGGGTAGCCTAGTGGTTAAAGCGTTGGCTCGTCACGCCGAAGACCCGGGTTCGAATCCCCACATGGGTACATTGTGTGAAGCCCATTTCTGGTGTCCCCCGCCGTGATGTTGCTGGAATATTTCTAAAAGCGGCTTAAAACCAAACTCACTCACTCTAATGACAAGCATGTGTTACTGATGATCAAGAATACATCGGGTCTTCACTAGTCTTCACTAGATGCCATTGTATCTCTTCAAAATGTTCCTAAACATAATCGAGTCACCAGAAAACGGACACAATACTGTATCCTGGTGTTTGTGTGTCGAAGCTAAGGTCCACGCACATCCCTATACCTTTGTCACCGAGGGAGGCCTGAATATTCGGTAGTTCTTGGAAGTCAGAGGGATGTTAATGTGTTACACAAAGGGTTATTTTCCCGAGGGAGGTGATTTCAAGAGCGATATTCCACGGTCTTATTGTGCTAAAACAGCTCTGCTGTCTCAACGGGACTTGACCTATATGGTGGGGTTTGGGTTGGGTTTTGGGCTGGGGGTTACGTGTGAGAGTTTGGCAAGCAATTGAGTACCAAACTGCATAGATGATCCACCGTTAGGTCATTGACTGGAAACGTCACCCCCTTGTTTGGCAGTAGGTGCATCAAACACGACATTTTGCAGATAAAAAATTATACTGACTGAAGTAGATAATATTCCTTGACTGGTTTCCTGTTTGTGTTTTACATTCACACTGTGGCACCAGTTATAATATCTGCCAAATCCTGTCAGTCTGTACCAGCACACAATGGAACCAGTTAATAAGCTAAATAGACTGGTTTCCTGTTTATCCGTACAAGCGCACTGTGCCACCCGTTAATAAACGCCACTGACTGATCTCCTGTAAATTCGTACTGTGCCACTAGTTAATAAGCGCCGTTGACTAGTCTCATGTCTGTAAAAGCGCACAGTGGAACCAGGTGATAAGCGTCATTGACTGGTGTCCTGTCTATCCGTACATGCGCACAGTGGAACCAGTTAATAAGCACTTGCGTTCGTGCCTCGTGCCTTCTGTTAAACTGTCATGTATATTTCAATATGTGTCATTTCCATATGGTTACGAGCGCTATGACTGTAATATGAACCTACTAACACAGCCTATGGCCGGCGTTGTCAATTCTCACAAGTAACCTACCAGCTGTTTTTGTTCGTTTGTATTATGGATATTACCTATATGACAGACTGGCGTTACCTCGCCGTTGCGCAAAGTACGCTAAACATGCATAGTTGCGAAAACAATGTTCGTAAATAATCGCGATACAGCCCCATAAACAACGAAGACATGCCCCGAAACTCGTCTACATGAAGATTGTGCAATCCCGCTTCAGTCACACACTGGTAACGTGTTGGAATGCGCAGATGACTTGAGATGGAGCTCAGTTTATTCGTACTTTGGTACAGAGCTCATGGTCTTTGTAGACGATTGTAATTCCCATACATACTCCAGACTTACGACGGTCGGGGCGGGGGTAGCCAACTGGTTAAAACGTTCGCTCGTCGAACCAAATCCGGGTTCGATTCCCCACATGGGTACAATGCGTGAAGCCCATTTCTGGTGTCCACCTCCGTGATATTGCTGGAATGTTGCTAAAAGCGGTGTAAAACCATATTCCTTCACGACGGTCGAAGCGCTACGATCACTCTGCTGAAGGCGTCCCAGAACCCTGTTGCTCTGTTCTGGATGTTCTGTTCTGGATGTTCTGTTCTGTTTTCTGTTCCGGCTCAGTGAGTCGTCCTACCATGACAGGAGAAACAGCAGGGCATCAAACTTCCTTTTTGTTCTTATTATGGATTCTGACAAAAGACACGTGGCAGTTTACTTTGCGCCAAGTACAAAACCATTGAATTTAATCCTCGGTGGCATTTGATGGCCCTTCTCGTGTCACTCTGAGACAAGCGGGTTGCAGGAAGGGGCGTGTCGACGAATACTTGGATGGTTCCGCATAAGCACTCACGGCACTACATTTACTTCGCGATTCATTCGTGACCACTCGCGCGAAGCCACACAAGCCAAAGTGAGTGAGTGAGTTTGGTTTTACGCCGCTTTCAGTAATATTTCAGCAGTATCAACGCGGGGGACACCAGAAATGGGCTACGCACATTGTACCCTTGTGGGCAATCGAATCCGGGTCTTCGGCGTGACGGAAAGGGTCGATCTATGACGAAACAAACTAGCCACTGGCTACCGCTAATGTTTGTTTCTTTGTTGTATAACGCCACACTCAGTAATACTCCAGCTATATGACGCGGTCTTTAACGAATCAAGTCTGGACTAGACAATCCAGTGATCAACAGCATGCGCATCGATCAAATGGGATACGATGACATGTGTCAACCAAGTCAGCGAGCCTGACCACCCGTTCCCGTTAGTCGCCTCTTACGACCAAATCTAACCCGGAACTTCACGGGTGGCTCCTACCGCT